TTTTTTTTGTCAGATTGGAGACAACTGCATAATGAGCAGCTTCATAACTTGTACTCTTCTCCAAGTATAATTAGAATGATCAAGTCAAGGATGACGAGATGGGCAGGGCATGTAGCACGAATGGGGGAGAAGAGGAATGCAAATAGGACATTGGTTGGAAAGCCAGCAGGAAAGAGACCACTAGGAAGACCAAGACGTGAGTGGACAATATTAAAATGAATCTTAGGGAGGTAGGATGGGGTGGTATATACTGGGTTGATCTGGCTCAGAATAGGGATCAGTGGAGGGGTCTTGTGAACACGGTGATGAACCTTCGCGTTCCATAAAATGCTGGGGAATTCTCGAGTAGCTGCACAATTGGCGGTCTCTCAAGAAGGGCTCAGCTCCATGAACTGAGTTAGTTCATCTTTTGTCTCCTTCTTCCTCTTTATTTTCCCCTTAATCTCCATTCTCCATTTTCCTTTTAATTCATTGTCTCCATTCCTCTTTCCTCCCTTTCTCTTCTTCATCTTTAACCTGCAACTTCTATTACATTAACTGATTTTTAATTTACTACTTCCCCTCTTCTCCCTTCTTCTCTCCCTGTCCCTTCATATTATTCTTCAAAATATTCTCTTCCTCCTACTCCTACTCCTCCTCCTCTATTTTCTCCCTTTCCTTCATCTTATTTTTCCCATCCTCTCCCTCCTCCCACCTTTCTCTCTGTGCCTCAGTCTCTTTTTCTTCCTCCTCTCCCCCTTCTTCTTGTTCCTCCATCTTATTTTTTTTTTAATCTTCTATTTCTGTCCTTTATTTTCCCCCCGCCCACTAATCGTATTCTTCTCTGTACCCTTGCACAGAACGTTACATAATGTGCAGGCTCAGTGACGTCATGATCGCAGGCACTCCATGTATCAATGCCAGTGTTTTCTGTGGGAAGCGTAGCTAAAGATGCGAACGCTCTCCTTCATTTGGACGGACATTTTATTAGCATGTCTGGCTACTGAACAGCCTCATTAAATAACTCACAAAAGAAGATTCACTAATATAACCCTTCGGACACTAGCTGCCCCACTATCTGTATCGCCTGCCAGTGTCAGTATCCCCCCACTTCTCACATATTCCCTCTCCTCCCTTTCTGAACGCAGGCCACCACAAAATAGTAGGACTGTAGGCAGGAAAAGCAGCATAGTCTAACGCAGATTTCGCGAAATACAGGAAACACCTGCCTCTTTCCTCGTCAGATGTGGTACCGGTGAGTTGCCATAGTAACCGATAACCAGTGTCTGTTTGGCTTGACTCCATTGCGGACATAGAGTGCGGGCACGGTTTCGCTTTGTGTGAGAAAGGTGAAAGTAGAATACGCCTTCGGACGAAGTCCTCCGGAGCCAGAAGCAACACCTGAACAGTCTGCAAGTCAAGGTTATTATTATTATTATTACTATTATTATTATTATTCGGGAGGTCGCGGCTTTGAATATCGCCTCGGAAACTGGCTATTCTGCTTCGATTTATCTTTA